TCACCGCGCAGTAACCGAGCCACGCGCAGCCGGAGAATCCCCACGGCCAGCGCGATCCAGGCCACGGGCAGCAAAACCCAGAAGCGAATCGAGGGGTCCAGCCGCAGGTCCGGCACCGTCATCGCGGGAAGCCGCGGAATCGCCTCGTAATTGCGTCGAGATCCGAGACGAAGGCCGTGGACGCTGCCAACAACCGGAAGCACCGTTCACTTCCGGTGTCATGTTTAGGTGCCTTGAGTCTCAAGAGCCCGAGTGAAAGCTGGAGGGAGACTTGGGTGGAGGAGGAGGAGGAATGGCCGCCCTCAGATTGTTATCGAGAGTGATACCGGCTTTCTCTGAGAGCATCGCAGCAGACTAGTTGCCCTAATTCGGTGCCTCTTGGGGGTTTGGGACTACCCTCTCCGTAATCCCAGCCTCTGTCGGGAAGTGAGCGCCGTAACGTCTGGAAGTTCACCAGGTCGGGCGAGGCTGCTCCACGATGTCGCGCAGTTCAGCAGCGCGGAAAGTGAAGCCGCTTGACCTAGTCGGACGCCGAGCCGAGAGGAACCGCCTCCGCTCTGAGAGCACGGAGAAGGAGAGCGTCGCCTTCCCTCGGCCGCGGGCGATGCTTGACCCCGCATTCGGCCGCTTCCGCTGCATACGGAGAGCTGCGCCGGGGCGGGGGTGGCCAAAGTTAACCCCCTCCCACCCCCTTCCTTTTTGGCGTGTTTGGAAGCGCGCGGGAGTCCGAGGAGGGGCCCGCCTCGCTTCTGAGTCGCACGACCCCGGAAGTAGAGGCGGGGGGGGCTCCCGGCTCCTCGGTGCTGCGGCTCCTCGCAGCTGCGCTCCCGTCCTTGTGACTCGCGGGCGTAGCCTCTGACCTGTCGAGAAAGGGCTAGGAATTCTACCTTGTCTTTTCCCGAATGTGTATTTGTTGTTTTCATGGCTGCCGTGATTTACGTGGGGTAAATGTTCAGGTTAGACAGCTGTGAAAACTGCCCGAAGAGGGAAAATGGGGGAGAAAAATGGGGAGTATTTGCATACGGGGTTTTGTGGGCAATGATATTTGCAAAAACATGTGTGGACTATCACTTCAAGTTCTGCTCCCCCCCACTTATAGATTTTTTTTTCCATATCTATAAGTTCATTATAAATTCATTTAACTTTTCATGTTTTTCCCCTCCAGGATCTGTTCACTAATATTTTTTGTGAAAATCTCATGGTGATGCTTAGTGAACAGCAGGTACAAGAGAAGGTGCTTCAGTATGAAGCATTTATAAGTGATGTTCTGCAGAGAGACCTTAAGTGAGTAATCTTAAAAAGTATCCCCTTTTTAGGCCCACCTTTTGACTGTCTCACTTCAGTTAACCCCTTGTATGTCATGTTTTCTAGGTCTCTCTTAGTCATTTTTTTATTAAGGCTTCCAGATATTGATATTTCCCTACAGGAAAGTGTTGGAACAGCGAGATGAGATTTATGAAAAAATTGCTCAGTATTTGCAACTTAAGAACATTATTGAACGTTTGCAGGTAATTCAAAATCTCTCCAACCTGTTCATACCAATTTGCAGTCATATGCTGTGGTGCTCTGTTGTAGTAGACATTAGGAGATAAGAATTATATTAAGAGTTGCTGTACCCCAGGTAGATTTGCTATTTTCTTTTAGGAAACAGGAGGCCAGGAGCTGACAACTCAAGTGGATCTAGGCTGCCATTTTTATGTCAATGCAGAAGTGTGAGTAGCCCACTGATCTTTTATGTATCCAATACCATACAACTTTCTAGTCTTTTATTTTTTCACTTCCTAGTAAGATGGGCGATGACCAAATTTGAAATATAAATAAAATAAATAAATATGCTCTATGACTTGAGAAATTAAATTAAAAACAATATTTCTATGACTCTTGGGACACCAACTGTGGTAAAATCGCAAAAGTTGAAATGAGTCAGAGGGCTATTTAGTTCAATTCTCTCTTGCAAGAGAAGTGTCCTTCATGTATCTACTAGCAGTTAAGTTTGTTACAGAGGCAGTCAAATCAAGAGCATCAGATTATTCACTGATTATTTAGTTTTCTTCATGATTGAGAAGAAGGCTGTACTCCTTCAATGACTGCCAGTCATACAGATGTTAACGTTGGAAGGATTTAATAAAGAAGAAAAATAGAACTGATAATATTGCTGTAGTGAGATTAGGTATATGAAGCACTTTGAACTTTATAAGGTTGTAATGATGATTATTCTTCATAAAACTAATTTGATCTACCTGTATGTGAGTGATAAGTTTGAGGGGTTTCAGGTAATAAAGAGTGAGCTGTATCTGGCAGAGGAGAAACCATTGCATGCTGGATTAATATTTATCTGGACTGGCATTCTGTTTTTCACAATGATCAACTGTGAAGTCTGTGAACAGAACATAAGCATTATAGCTTCTTGTGTTGTTCCTCCTTGGCAACTGATGCTAGGAGCTTAGTGCCTCTCTTCTTAGAGGTGATACATAACTCTCATAATTAGTAATCACTGATAGTCTCAATGTCCACAGATTTATCTATTTCCTACTGAAAGCTATTTTTTTTTCCTTGGCTCTCCCACCTTTTGATGCCCTTAGGTTCTAGTATTATAGAATCTAATATTATAACAGAAGGAGTCTGTCCATCTCATCATGGCCCAGCCGTACTTGCTTTTTTTCTTAATCTGAAACACTTCTTAAAAGGTTGAAATATATTTCAGTAGAAGAAATCAGAAAATTAAATGTATGATCTTTAAATGTAAGGAAAGAATAACAAAATAGGATTCCCAAGTTAAACTTTTGAAAGTAATCTCCGCTGAGTTCTCATAAGTGGTTTCCCCTTTGGTTAGGCTATATTTATAGAACAGCTGTAAAGGCTGTTCTTTATTTACAGAGCACCACCTATATATGCTGCAGTTTACAGGTTAATCCCAAAACAAAGCATCCAGATCTCTTTCCAAAGACTTTATAATCTAAAGCAGTGTTTCTCAACCTTGGCAACTTTTAAGATATGTGGACTTCAACTCCCAGAATTCTGCTAAGATTGAGAAACACTGGTTGAAAGCCATAATTTTCATGTTGTATTACATGAGAAAACTCTTAAGTGAATTGTGAAAAACGATTTCATCAAAGATTCTTGTTGGTCTAATGGATAAATCTGTTGAGGAGATTGTCTGCTGTTTCTCTGTATGAGTTTCACTTTTGGTCCTCTATCCTCTCAATCAGGAAATATGCTCAGAATGATGACTCAGGCTACGCTTAGTAAAATATTCTGAAGAAAACCCTTTGGGCCGCAGAATAAAATGTGCTTTCAGATTCAAGTTTTTTAAATACATATGCCTCTGAACAAACTTCTGTTTAGGGAGCATTGTTTTTAACAAATGACAATAACAGGAAATAAGAAGAGGGACCACTGAAAGAAGGTAAAGACAGAAGAAGATGAACACTGAAAGTCTTTTCCTTCCCCCTCATTCCCTCTCCCCCATCTGTCAGAATATGTGACTCAAGGGAATTAACTCTTTTAGCCAAATCTCCCTTTGGGGAAGAGTTGTTAACATTTCATTTTTCAGCACGGGAAAATATGGTATAAAAATGTTCTCAGCTTTTCCCTAAATTTCAGTGCCATGAAATTTACAGGTTCATTACAGGAGGATGCTAACTTGATGGTGTGTGGATGTCTTATCCCCAGATGAACCTATTCTTGGTTAAGAACAAAAGGCTGTGCGCTGAAAGATAATGTGCAGAATGAGAGCCAAATTTAGGCTGTTTTCCCACTAGCATTGCCCAGTACAAGGACAGGTGGCTGAGTGTGAAGTGACACTTCTTTCTTTTCCTTTCCTAATAGCAGAGAGCCAAGGATAGTGTGAACGCACATTAGCTGTAAGCAGAAAGAGATTGTGTTTGCCAAACAAAAAATGATAGTGAGAAGTTGCATCCAGAAAGGTTTAAATACAACTTTAGGGGTTACTGTGCAAGAATGAACAATATTTAACAAAGATAAGTAATTGTTGATTGATAAGCTCATTTCTCAGGGCTCAAAAATAGCAAATCTGTGTCACTTCCTTGTGAAAATGGAATTCAAGTATCCTAGCAGAAACTGAAAGATAGCCAGAATTCTAGGTCTCAGCTATCTTTGATATTCCATGGTGGTGATTTTCCACCATTATGTAACAACAAAACAGCAAAGTAATAAAAACATTAATTAGCACATTTACTGCATAATTCTAATCTCTAATCTAAACATGGAGAATATGTGCAACTTCTCTTTCACAGTTCTGTGTAATTCAGTTATATTTCATAGAGCTGTGCTGTAATCTCAGTATGAACTAAAAAGTTCTTAGTTCCCTTGGTCCCCTGTTTCTGTGTTCCTTTTATTTTCCAATGTCAATTTAATAATAGTAAAAAACAGAATGGATATGTTACACCTGAAACTGTCAGTGTATGCCATTGACTACATAGCCTTTATTTTACCTGGGAGGGATAGAAATTGGCTTTTTTTTTAAAAAAGGAAAGTTAAGCTATGAGGATAATTGGATAGTACACTACTTTTTTAAGAGAAAGTTTGATAAAGCAGCTACTGCATTACCTGTTAAAGAAACAATCCTTTAAAGTACCACATTAACCCAAATGGAAAGCCACCCACCATAAATGAAGAGGCAAAACCCTTCAAAACAGACAGAAATCTTATGTAAAGCCTGCTTTCTCCACTCACTCTCTCACTGTAGGGTTGCCAGCTCCAGCTGAAATCATTCTTAGAGATCACCCTGATATATGTGTGCCTATGACATGCTTATGTATGTGTCTGTGTGCTTGCATGTCTATCCTCACTCCCCCCTCCAAATAAAGAGCTGGATCAGCACCACAAAATAAATGTATGTTAATTGAATATTAATTAAAATAAATTGTCTTTAAAATAAGTTAACCCATTTCCAAAATTACTTGCTATCTTTGTGTATAAGCCATAAGCCATAGACACATGAGCATGTTTCTCTCCTTCCATGCTATATGGGAATATGGAGCTGCTCTGGGAAGGGGAGGGGAGAGGAAAGAAAGAGGACACAAACTGGATAGAGATGAGACAAGGGGAAGAAGTAGCTGGCCTGGGAAGGAAAGAAAAGAGAGAAGCTCTGTTGAAACATTACAAAAAGGGCTAAATTTAGCAGGCAGATTTTATTGCAGCCCTATTGTAGTTCTTGCTTGTTATTTTGTTTTCAACAGTTCCTTCTCTTATTAGCCGTGAATACTGAGGCACTTTTAAAAAGTATTGGTGGCTTAATGGACAGCATGGTGCTCTCTTTCTGGGTCATTCCAGAACCCTCCAGGTGTTCTTGGACAAGCATGTGCAATATATTGGAAAAATGACTTTACGTGTACATGTGCATGAGGGGTAGGGAGTACAGTGCAGTTTACAGAAACATAATGTACACAGTCAATTCTTTTCATTTTGTTTTCCTATCCTTAAATGTTTTTTTACTCTTACAGAGAAGAAATGAACCCATCCCACCTATTTTATTACTTTCGGTTATCCTCCCTGCACCCCAAAATTTCAAAACTAGAAAAAGAACCATTAGGTGCACAGCAGGTGGCAGTATCTAGCTGGCCTTGACTACTGTAATCCAAAAAATGCTAAGCAGGAACAGGTCTGGATAGTACTTGGATAGGAGACCACTAGGACATTCTAGGTCTGGAAGCTAGATTGGGAAGATTAAAAAAAATCCCAAAGTGGTTTGCCAAAAAAAAGTTGGCAAACCACTTCCATTTTTCTACCAGCAAAGCTAATATTCATGTAGTCACCCAGAAGCTGACCTCAACTGAAGGAGATCTTGACTACAGTAAATGCTTTGTTTACTTTGACTCCATTTTTGTCTGGGTTCATTATCTAACTAATTTCAGTGTACTGTATTCTACCTCAACATAGTATATTTTAAGTCTCAAATCTTCCTGTTATCTGCCAGTTTATTTCTGTTTTTTAATGAAGGAAAACAGGAAGAGGTAGCTCATTTTATCTCTGAGACATATTTGCAAAAATGTTTCATAACATAAATTGTGACTGGATTTACATGGCATGTAACAGTGATTTCCTTAACCTTGGTTTATTGAGGAAATCACAAGTGGTTAGGTCTGTACAATGCCTAAGTCAAAATGAAACAAACTACCGTGTAATTTAGCACAGTATGTTAACTGAACTTTTATACTGTCCTCAGCAGACAGAATCACAGTTGCTGTTTCTGTTATCTCTGTGGTCATGTTAAATGCATGCCAATTGTACTCAGTTTCCTTTTCTTCCCTGTAGGCCTGATACATCCACCATATTTATAGCTCTGGGTTATGGCTTCTTTGTGGAGTTGACACTACCAGAAGCACTAACCTTCATTGAGAAGAAGAACAAGTTGCTTACTGAGTGAGTAGAAGAATTCAGCTTTTATATTTTCTACTCCCACCTCGTTACCAAAAGAGATGCTTTGCTCTGTTGTGTCCCATTTAGTAAGACTTAGGGTTAGTATCCTCCTCTAACTGCTTCTTCAGTAGCATATTTTCTGACTGCTATAAGCAGAATATGCTGCTTGAATGTATGTACGAGATGAGACTAGATTATAGGATAGCCAAAAAATTCGGTAAATATGTCATTAGATCCTTTTATTCTTTTAGGGCATGTATATATCACTGGCTTAAATTGGTTAATAGTCACTCTTTGGCATAGAAAAATCTGCAGTTTGTATTGCTGTGCACAAGGCTAAGGAACTTTGACATAGTCATCAGTCCTCACAAAAATATATTTGCAGGGTTTGGGAAGAATGCCATCTCAAGTAAATTAATGTAAACTCTATGCATCTTTATGGTATTGGTATAACTTCATACAGCTATCCATCATTAGTCATTGCTACATCTTGACAAAGTAATACTGTACAGTATTTACAAAGTGAGGAGATTGGAAGGGCAAGAGGGAGGCTGTATGCATTTGGTTAGAAGCAAGATTGGCTCCTCAGCTGGTTTTTAGTGCCAGTTTTTGAATCTGGAATGTATGGAGTATAATAGCTTGCTAATGAATAATTGGAATATATCCTTAAATACTTGCCATTAGTGGGAACATTTTTAAAAAACTTTCCCCTCTATTTAGACCATGCTTTTAATCAGCTGGCTCCCCCCAATGGCTTACAATAATGCAAGTATGCACTGCTTTTAAAAAGTACCTTTCTATCAGCGTAAAGGCAATTTCCAACTCAGATGATTGAATATAGTTAATGTGTGGAATAGGAATGGGTTTCTTGTGTGGAAACAAGTAGGCCTCCCCCTTCCTTTGTGCAGCTTAATCCATGTTTGTATTCAGTGGAGTTTAAGCTTTGGTAGGTTCATATAGGGTTGCATTCTTATTCATATTCAGGTAAATTTTCCAGCATCCACTGTAAAAACAGTTCCTCCCTGTATGCCATATTGCCTTCATCTATGGGTGGTCAACAGCTGTTATATTTTACAAGGCCAGTCCTTCTTCCTTCCTCACCTCCTGTGGATTTCTTCTTCTTTTTTTGACAGGCTCAGTGAAGCTCTTACTAAAGATTCTGCCAAAATAAAAGCCAATATCCGGATGGTTTTAGAGGTAATGAGATGGTGTCGGCAATGTTTTTACTATTGGGAGAGAAATGGGGGTATGTGGCAAATGGAATTCATTGCTTCTGGCAGGCAGAGCAACAGATGATGTTGGGTTGGAACCATGCTGGAAGAAGAGAGAGTAGTTGCATAGAGTTAGCCAGAGCTGCTGTTCCCTAGACTACTGTTCTATGACTGACTTTCCCAAACCGCAGTGTTGCAGATGTGCTGGATGGCTACTTCCATCATCCATAACTAGTGTGATCATGTACCATGTGGGCTGAAGAAGATAGGTGCTTTGGTCCGGGACCAGAAGAAAGCTTATGGGATAAGGAGGGTATTTTTTTCCAATATAGTATGGAATAATGCTTATGCTATATAAAGAAATAAAAGGAATCAGTAGAGAAACCTGAGTCTCATCTTCCTTTTCTTTTTGAAGGGATTACATGAACTGCAAGGTTTCGAAGATCTGCCTGAGGAGAACAGAAGGGACATTTTCCTCTAGGTATCCACCTTCTGTGATCCACAGGGAATAATGTTGGGTTTCTAGAAGAAAAGTTGATTTTTGTGGATATTTTCCTGAAGCAAGGGCTGCACATGTGATGAGAAACCCTGGTGAATGAGAGACAGTGACATGACGTAGTGATGGGGAAGAACAGCTCCACTTTTAGTGAGTGTATTAGGCTGTTTGAACTTTGTCCCATGTCTGACTCCATTAGTTCTGTTTCTTTTTGAAAATAATTGTATTAATAATAAAGATTCTGTATTTGTGCTGGACTCTTGGTCTCTTGTCTCTTATCTTACTTCCATTTTCAGTATCAATTCCTTTCAATTGTGCTTTAATTTAACAAGAACAGTAACCTCTGCTTTTACTTTCTGGGTGCACACATGATATCCTTACTACTTACTTTTTCCCCCTTTTTTACTTTGTAATTATTGCTCTCTGCAAATTAATATTTGAGTGTTGGACACTTTTAACCAATGTAAGTGGAAGATGTGTTCTTCAAATTTCAACTTAAGTAAGATGCTGTTCTCAGTGGCACTTCATCCTTCTTAATTTGTATCAAGTATCAAAATGATACTTGACTGCGTTATAAGATTTATGGAAGATTTCATGAAGATCTTTTCTGACACTTGATAGACATGAAAGATCTTGGTATTGCTGTTATTTATTTGGTGCTTTTTTGATAATGAAATATTAACATAGGAAGAGCACTTGCCTTTCAAAGACAAACGCAACTGCTATCAATCTACCACACACCTCAGTCATATTCTTTCAAGTTAAGATGGAAAAGGATGATTAAGAAAAGGATTGAAAATAAAACTGTAGTGCAATGCCATTATACAAATCAGTGACACCAATGCATCTGGAATATTGTGAATACTTCTGGTTACCACATTTGAATAAGGATATATTGGAGCTGGGAAGATGCAGAAGGCAACCCAAATGATCAAGGGACTTGAATACCTTATCAGGAAAAAAGAGGTCAGAGATATATATGTAATATAAACATGGCGTGGAGAAAAGTGGCAGGGAGAAGTCCTCCATTCAAAAGTCTAGGGTCATGGGATCATCACATGACACTGGAAAGAAATTTAGAACAGACAAAGGATAGTACTTCATGTAGTGCATAGTCAACATGTAGCATTAATTACTGCAAGATGGGATGGCTACTGACTTGGATAGTTTTAAAAGGGGATTGGATAAATTAAGAGGACAGAATTCTCAAGGCTCTATCTTAAGACTCAGTGTTTCTTCCAGGCTGGAAGTAACCATGTCTCCAAATACCTGTTGCAGAGGAACAGAGTGGGGTTGTGAGCAAGGGGTATGTCTCCACTTGCTTCTTGCAAACATTCCAGAGATAGCTGACTGGCCACTGGGAGAAACAAAAGAGGTGACAAAATTGGCCCTTTACCTTATCCAGTAGAGCTACTCTTATTTTAAAGGAATTCTTCCTGTCCTAATTATAAAACTTATTCCCATGTACAAGTGAGAAACAAAGAACAATGGAAGTGATGAATTGGGGGTGTCTAAAAGAACAAGTTAGCCCATTTTCTAGGTAGACCTCCCCCTTCTTTCCATCACAATTTTCATAGATCAGTCTGACCAACATTAAACCATAAACTCTTCAAACAGGCTGGGTTTACCTATTAAGCCACACTCAAAAAAACAAAACCTAATAAAAGTTATTACCAAGCTTAGGATGTGCAAATGCACCTGTTCAGTATTTAGCTGACCTGCTGAAGCATATTCTCTGAATAAACCCTGATTGATTCAATGCTGCTGCTGAGGGATGTGCAAAGTGTTGCATGTTTGAACTGAACCATGCACAAACCTGGAGCTTGCATGGCTGTTGCTAGTAGCTAAAGATAAGGAAGATGGCAGGCTGGGTGAATATATGGTGGCTAAAGTGGTGGGTGGCTTGGGGAGTATGCATTACCTGAATTCAAGAGAGGCAGTGGGTAAGGGGAAGGCACTGAGAATTTGCATGTTGGCTGGTGCACAGGCTGGATGTTAGCCTTTTCAGGTAGTCCAGACAAGAAGAACAACAATGAATACTAGCTCTATTTTTTATTGTAAGGTTACATTAACAGAATCTTGCAAGTCAAAGTATTTCTCCCGTCCTTTCTTTTTACTCTGGAAAACTAGGGAAGGTCCCTTCTGAAACATGTCCCAAGCCCCTCTGCTTCTGTGGACTGAAATACATTTTGCATAACGATTGTTTAGTCTGCAGCTCTTCCTCCTGTCTCCCAAGGTCATTCCCACATACCATTCCAGTGGAAGAGGATAACGGGGGGCACTAGCCTAGCTTTGCCTCCTAAGACTTCTTTTTTTCTTGGCCAAAATCTGGAACAAACTGATCTGTTCTTTGCATAGAACAAACTATTTTTGGTTTTGTGTGCACCTATTGTTGACCTTTCAGCTCTTCACTCAGTTGAAAATATGGCCTTCCTTCAAGCCTATTGTCAAGTGTGATGTTCCTTCTCTGAGCAGTCAAGTATAAGTGGCATGTACTAGGCCCAGAGGGCAAAGGAAGCATTGATGGAGGGCTGGGGCTGGGGCTGGCGGGAAGAGAAAAGAGAGGACAAACACTGATAAAATTTACCCAAGAATACCAGAAAACCCAAAAGCCTTTCCTGCTTCAACTAAATTGTTGGACAACTATTTTCTGTATTAAAATATTGAACTATATGGCTTCTGTGAAAATAAAACCTTAGACAAAACTATGGTGCAGCTGCACTTGGTATACTGTATGTGTTTGTGTGTGTGTGTGTGTGTGTGTGTGTATTTGCTGATTTCTGCACCCATGTAGAAGGAGCTTGCAGAAGTGAGAAAAATGCAGACGGGGTGGGGGAGAGAAAAAAAAGATGCAGGAGCAACTTTTTCATAATGAAAAGTTACATTGCTTAGGAATCCTGGCAGGGGGGAGTAAAGCTAATGGTTGGGGAATGAGAATGCAGAGCCCCAAGTTTGTAAAAGCTGACTAGATGAAAGATTTTGTAAATGTCAAGTACACCGAATGATAATTCCCAAGACATCTGCTGGATGCTTCTTTAAATGGCAATCCAGAGCCAAGAATGCTGAAAATCGTGATGATTTATCTTAGGTTATGCAAAATGTCTCAACCATTTTGAGAGCAAAATGCCTTATTCTGAGTGCAAACTAGATATTTTGAATGCAAAACACACTGTTCTGATCATTTTAGAAGTGTTTTGTACACCCTTGGTTGGATCACCTTTTTAAACCATGACTTCTTTTGAACAGGAAATAAAAGCCAATTAATATGAATCATGCTTGCCAGTTTGTGTTATGCACACAAATGTATGTCAAAAATTTAATGTTTTTTAAAATGTTTTTTATGTTTACACCCCTCTGGAAATTCTAATTGAAGAATGTCTAATAAATGCTGTACATATGAATAAAACCAATGGCATTAAACTGCTAAAGTGAAAGCACACCACTCATGAATAAGAATTAGGATATATACTGAATTCACTGGCACAGCAAAGAGAGCAACCTCCTGTCTATTTAAAAAGGATTTTCTGTTCTTTAGACCAGTGTGACATTATAGCCTAAACTCTGGTTAAAGCAACTGAAATATTTTACCTTAATGATCCTGACAACCATCCTAAAATTTGTTGTAATCCCCCCTTGTACAGATGAACTGCACCTGTGATAAGTAGCTTCCTTATGACTAATTGCATGAAATGAACTGTGGCCTCACTGTTCCTCCTGTTCCTGATAGCATTTTGGGAGCAACAGTGTTTTTTCCCCCCTCGACCTACAAAATGATGCCTCCTACAGGCCAGAGGTCATCACCCCTCCTTCGGCCCCTTGCTGGAGCCAGTCAAGGCCCAGGGAACCCTCCTTTGGGGAGGCATGGAGCCCTTTGGATGTTCCTATCCTTCTGGGGCCAGAGGTTACCATGGCAGCATCCATATTTCTCTCCCCCTCCCCCCTTCTTATTCCTCGCCTCCGCTGTCGTGGTGGCTTTCCGTTGCCGTGGCAACCGCGGGGCAAGTAAGGATCAGGCGAAGGGGGCGAGAAGGTCGTGGGTTGGCTGCCACGAAGACAAGATTTACCCCCTCGCAAGGTGGGCGGAGGGGAGGCGGTATTTAGCTGGAGAAGCGGAGGAGTGGACTCGACTCCCCCACCCGGCCCAGCCTGCCTCAGTCCTGACTCCCAACTTTTTCCAGCCCAGCTTTCTCCAAACGTGTGCCCTCATGGCGTCATGGGAGTGTTAGTCCTAACACAGCTGCAGAAGTTCAGTCCCTCTCCCCATCTGCAATAGGCCTGAGGACTTCCCCGTGCAAGTGAAGCCTAGACTTCCTGGCATCTCTCTTCCCGCAGCTGGGTTCCAACAGGTCGAGAAGCTGCGGAGCGCCGGGATCCTCTGACCACCACCACGACCACCTCCTCCTCCTCCTCCTTCCCCCGAAGCGGAGCACCCGGGAGTTCTGGCGCCGTCTTCCGCCCGCCGGTCCAGAGCCAGCGGGCCAGCTTGGGAGTCCCGGCTCTCCTTAGCCCGCGCTTCACGAGAGGATGGATCCAGGCGTCCTGGCTGTCAACAGACCTCCCTCCTCGGCCTGAGCAGAGAGCAGGACCCGGGAGTCCAGGCGCCCTCGCTCCAGCCTCCCCCGCCTCGCTCCAGCAGAGGTCGAGGTCGGGCTCGCGCCAGCCCTGCGCGGGACTCGGATCCCGGGACCCTGCCCGGAGCGCTTCTCCTCGCGGATACCCTGCAGCCCTGGGCAAGGCGGGAGGAGGACCCGGGCGTCCTGGCTGCTGCCGGCTCCGCCTTCTCTCCATGTGACAGGCGCCGTCACCGCTGCATCCCCAGCGCTGCAACCGGCGGCCTGCACGGCTCGTCAGAGGCAGGAAGAAGAGCGGATACGCCCCCTCTCCCCCTCCCCGCACCTTCTCCCCCATTCACCCTCCCCAGCACATCCTGAGGCACCCACGCCGAGTGGCAAGGCGGTCCGGCGACGTCAAGGTCTTGCGGGGGACACTCGCCGCCTCCCCACGAGAGAGAGCCCGCCTCGCCAGCCCTCCGGCACTGATCCATCCCAACGGAGACAGCCTCAACTTGAGATCGGTCAGGAACCTCAGCTGGGACCAGCAAAGGTGGTGGGAAAGAGCAACAGGGCCAGCGGACGAAGTGGGAAGAAAAGTGGGAACTGGGGGACGAAGACGAGCCGTTCTAGCCTGGGAAGCAGCAAGCGGACTGGCAACCCACCCGCTCCCCGGCGGCAGAGCTGGGGGCCCCCACCCAGCCCATGGAGCCGCCGGGGTCTGGCTTGGGGGGTGCCGCCATGCTCACTGGTGAGTAGTAGACGATGGAGGGAGAAGGAGAGACCTCCCTTCAAGTCTCCTCTTTAAGTCTCAGACCTTCGAGATCCAGAAGGTAACGATCCCCTTTACCGCCCCTCCGCGCCCTCCCCCCCATTGGCAGCTGGTTCTGGGTTAGGCAGCCTGGGAAGAGATGTGCACAGCATTTTGGGCAAGTGATACCACCTCCCACCCCCACAACTGGAAAGTGACAGAAGGCCCACACCATTACCTGTCCCTGTACCAATCTGAGACTCAAGTCACTTTCAAATAATTGTGAATAGATCCTCCCAACCCGCCATCATTGTTAAAATCTGGAAAAGAGGGAGGTAGGATTGATGTGTATACAGGGTGGAACTGTGTGTGTTTATTTGTGGGTTTTCTAGGCATTTGTGAAGGGGACTTCTGGCATCCAAAGAGATTTCTGTTACATATACTTTATTACCTTGAGATAATTTTGCTTTCACTTGGAAAGGAGAGATGGGGTAGCTCTCCTGTCCTTGGGACTTTCATCCCATTGATTTCCTACAAAAACTGACCCTTCTATAACATCTTGAGTCTTCCCACTAGCTACTTTTTATTAGGACCCCTGTTCAAATCCTACCCGCTAGCTATGTATGTATGTATGTATGTATTGAGCAAGATTTCAAAGATAAAGTACAATAAAATCCCATGAAACACAGAACACAAAAGCACTCACACCATCAAACCCATGTCAGTTCGATGTTGATTCTGGGCTTTTCCTCACTTGTTCCTCCATCTCTTCTGAGAAGGCCTTTTGGTCTTTCCCATGATCACCCAGCTTGCCCTACAGCCTTCACTACATTAACTGCTGGATTACAGCATTTGATGAGGTTTTTATGAAATCCAGCCCTAGAAAATCCTTTTTTTAGGCCAAATCCAGATAGTAATTTGCAAGTGGGGCAGAGGAAACAGGAGGAGAGGAGTGAGTGGGTGATAAAGCCTTCACTCTGTGTGGCTCCTATTCCAGACCTGGTGTACGTCTTTCCCCAAAAGTCAGAAACAACAAACTGGGTATTTTGTGTGCCTCTTGGGAAAATGCAAGGAGTGAACACAAGTTAGTTTTTTTTTTTTTTTTAAGAAGGATGGCTAGAAGGAGGCCTCTCATTATGACACTGCATAGAAATCACAGAGGGTTGTCATGTATACATATGGCAGAGAACATAGAATACAGTAGCTCAGAAAGGAATGGGAATTATCTCAGTTGTGGTTCAGGATTTAGGTTTGGGAAGCACCCAGGAAGATTCAGCCTACTGGGACCCCTGACTTGGAGCATATGTAGCATGCATTTTGTTCCCCCTGAATGCCTCCACTCTTCAGTACACATTTGGGCTGAAGAATGCCTCCTTAGAGCAGAAGCTGCAATTTTGACCTCTGTGATTCCATTTTAGAAGTTAATGATCGCTGCTTGAGGCATTAAGGTATGGTAGCATGAATTGCACTGGTTTAAAATCTAGTTGATACATACAAATGCCCTTAAACAGTCACTTATATTTTCTGCTAAGTATCTGTTTCTTACAACTTACCTGTGGCTATGTCCTTTGTATATATTCGCTGTATACCGTCTTCCATTTTCTTCTCCCTCACACTGGCCCTTCCTCCAACACATGTCCCTTGGTTATGTGTGAATGAGACGCAGCCCTTTCAGTGTAGAACACCAGCATTCAGATATAGTGTGAGATCAACTCATTCCTCATTGTAACTGATGGCTGAAATGGATAGCTATTAGCTTGTAATTTTTTTATATCAGAATTAATAATTGATATAATAAAATGTATACAGAACCAAAAACTACAAGAATTAAACATCTCTGCCCTTTCCTTGCTTGCTTCCTTTAATGCTTGGGACTCCCTTCTAGACATCTATACAGAGTGCCATCACTTCCTTCAAATTCCTTCTTGAAACCCACTCTTTCTGTGAAGCTTTGGCTTAACCTGTCATTGCAGAAACTGGCACTAAGTATATCTAAGTGATCTTTAACTGCATGAATCTTTAGATCTTCTTGTTTTCTTTTTCAAAATTAAGCTCCTTTATGCAAAGATCTGCTTTTTTTTTTCTCCTTTTGCATTATAAAGCAAGGGTATATAACCAGCAGCCCAAGGGATGCTTGGACCCTTAAATAGTCTTGGATGTGGTCCTAAGGACCTTTCCAAAACTTGCTATTAAATTAGACTATTTAATGTGAGAGAAAGGGGAAATCAATTGTCCTTAATTAAATACATTTTAATTCAGTTTACATTTATATTAAAACCAAATCAAATGTTGCTTTTGTCCTGCTTTTTTTCACCCACTTTGATATGTTCTCACCCACTGGCCCCTGACATGCCTCTCAAAGGCTCACTACGGGCTTGGCAGTCCTGTACTGCAACAACCCTGCTGTAAAAGATGGTGGACCTTGCTATCACATTTCTTTTTTTCCTTGCACATGTGAGGCCTTGTTCAGGTGATAATCTGATATTTTAAGCCTTTCCAAACAAAAAAAAAAAAGGGAAAAAATGCCAAATGCTCTTCAGGAATGTCCTGGATCTAGAGTGAAGGATGACGGTTTGTGTGTGTGCGGTGTTGAACAGGACTGTTGGCTCTCAATTAATTTTGCTTCAGGGCATTTGGAACAATTCCCATGGCTAATTTTGGGAGGGAGCCCTGTTTGAGTATTACTCAGGTTCCAGACATTTTGCAAGGTGAAAGTGTGCATTTTAGCCCATTCTTAGTTGTGTGTATGTATGTAAGAGTAGTACTGCAACATCTGTTATAGCTCTTTTGAGGGCTGGAATGGTGTCTGCTCTGTTGTTACTCATTATTCTGTTGTAATAGTTTTGTCCCAGTACAAGCTGTAGCATTATTTTCAAAGATTGGGTCGGGATTATCTTTGTAGTGCTTGATGAAGTAATAGGGTACTTCTAAACCAATGAAGTTATACTGCATACATAATTGGCGATGGAGATTTTTTTGCCCTAATTATATCTGGCAAAATTTTCAGGGTTTTGCATGAGATGGAATAACCAGCTATTACAACTTACATTTGTTCCTGTTTTATCTCCATAAGTGTTTTTAAGCTATTATTTAAAACATTTGTGGACTGCAAGAAAGCATTTCTTTGACCAATGATGCTTGTATACTTTCCAGTGATAAAGGAACAGTGTTACACAAATAATCATTTACAGTTATAGATGTTATATTTAAAGCCTGCAAGGAAGTGACTTTATAGCCAGTGCTCTTTGCTCTCACTTCTGGGTACTCGAGTACTATGTGTCCTGTCACATCAGTAATGTCCAATCAATGCTCCCTGGGGCACACATTATCCCAAAAGCCCATTCAAAAACTACTGCTGAACTGTAGGTTTAAGGTGACATAAACAGAAATTAATAAAAACACAGGGAATAACTGTGTAAATTCCATGCATTTAAAATTCAATTACATTAAAACAAATGTCTCTTTGGCCCTGGTTCTACTTCCTTATCTTGGGCCATACTTACTATTTGGAGTGTGCTTCGCACAGAGCACTCAAAAGTCCAGTGTAGCCCTTAGTCCAAAGAAAGAATCCATTCTGTTGTTTGAAACCTGATGAAGCTCCCTCCAGAAAGGCTGGGAATTGTAATTCTTTAAGTGTGTGGATCTTGAACAAAAGATTACTGTTATCTTCAAAGTCCCCCTACAAAACCATATCTCTTTGAGGAAGGCCATGAAGGAAGGCTTGTTTAAACACTGTGTATTAGGACTCTCAAGCAGCCAAAGGAGTTTATGTTCATGGTATTTTTGAACTGTGTTGTCCACCCTAGGCTACTCTTCACTTCCCAGCTCTCCAGTCTATGGAGACAGCCTTACTTTGTAAGTATTGGGAGTATTCACAAAACTGGTTTTATACAAATAGCAAAATCAAGTGGTTACACTTTTCCTGAACTTTATCTCTTCAGGATGTGTGTGTGTGTATGTGTGTGAGTGATTGGGGAGGCTGGAGTAACTGGATGCTTTGCAATGAAAAAAAAAACCTCCTTGCATGGAGAAAGCAAGTATGTCAGAGAGAATGATTTGGCCCAACCTTTTCCTTGACACTTTTTTTTTCTCTGTGAGTGGCGCTCCCTATCACCCACACTTTCTAGTCAACTTCAACCATAGCACTTATTACTGGATTCTTCTGATTTGCAGACGTTCATTGTTACCTGCCAAGGACTGTGCCATGCAACATTCTGTATCACTGAATTGGCTGCCCTTTTGCTCTTCCTTTTTTCCTTTAGTCATGGATCCCTCAGTCACTTTGTGGCAGTTCCTTCTGCAATTGCTGGAACAGCAGAGCAATGGGCATCTGATTGCATGGACATCCAATGATGGGGAGTTCAAGCTGGTTGATGCGGAAGAGGTTGCACGACTCTGGGGCCTGCGGAAGAACAAGACCAACATGAATTATGACAAGCTGAGCCGGGCCCTTCGTTATTACTATGACAAAGTGAGAGCCCACTTTGCAAATCTGGGATGAATCTGCCAGTTCCTGCCTTGCTTTCCCCTTCAGCCCAGCCTTAAGGAGAGTGCAGTGGAAACCTAAAAGAATATTTAGGTTGGGTTGTGGGAATGAAGTCTTCCTACAGATCAATAGGAAAGGAGTAAGATGGAGTGCAGGCTATGTTTTGGGAATCTCTGCAACCTGGGAATTGAATGCTAAATGTAAATATTTGCCTTCTGAGACTCCCGTGTTGCTTTTCCTTCCCCCCCCCCATCACTTTTGAGCTCTTATGCCTGCAAAGATAAGCTTGAAGTCATATGAAAGCTCTGAAAACAGTATGGTGGCTCTATGAGAGAAAAGTAAGTATTTGTAGGAAAACAAAGCGGATTGAGAAATGTCCTAGCCAACTGACATATATATGTTTTGTTCTATGCATCCCACTTTCCAGGGCAGGGTGACCTGATTTTTTTTCTCCCTTGGAAGAAAGCCCATTGAGGTTTATATATACACACACACACACACATACACATACACAACCAAGACCCATTCTCTGTCATTCTGAATGCAGGAAATAGTATACAGTATTGGATTTAAGTTTCAAGAAGGCAGATTTCAGTTGAATGTTAGGTAATGCTTCTGAATGGTAAGAGCAGTTGGACAGTGGAATTACACTACTTACGCAGAAGGGTGGTATGCTCTTATTCCTTGAATTTGTTCAAATGGAGGCTAGGCAGCTAATTAGGACTTCTGCACCAAACAGGAGCAGATCTTGATGGCCTCAACCGCCCCATCCCATTTTGTGAATCTGTGGAGGCAAACACCATGAACATCTTCTGGTAGCCCTCAGATTCTGCTAAAGTACCAGTAGTTCTAACTAGCCTTGCCAGTTGTTATCAAATGCTGGAAATTCAGCAACAGCTAATATGAGCTACAGGTTCCTTACCCCTTTACTATCTGATATCAGATTTTTTAAAAAAGAGAGCTTGGCATCCCATGTAACTTCATTTTCTGCTTCTGTAAATCTATGCTTACATACTTTAAAGTAAGTCCCATTGAAGAAGATAACCTCATTGTTATCATATAATAATCCATCTGCAAATTATTATTATGTGAAGGTTTCAAAGCTACTCTCCTTTGACAGGCAGACACACACACACACACA